ACTATGACTCGTACTGGTACGTCTGATACTATGACTCGTACTGGTACGTCTGATACTATGACTCGTACTGGTACGTCTGATACTATGACTCGTACCTCAGGTGCTCTGGTTGGTAAAAAAGCAGAAGCCTCAGTCTGTGATTGGCTGATTTCAGGTCTGGTGTCAGAATCTGGAGTTTCCTTCTTTGATGTGTTGAAGAACGCTCCTGAACCACAGCTGGTCGCCACGCCACACCCAGCAGCACAGGAGGTACACACAGACACACACACACTCACACTAAATATGAAACAGCAACACAAAGTAAAGGGTCGACGTCTCTCTCAGGAAACTCAGTGTTAAACATGGACGGGTCTAAAAAACGCCAAAAGAAGCAGAATCATTATAATTAATAAACTCTTACGTGCTGTGACTCAGCGTAGACGTTTCTTTACATCCAGATGTTCTTAGTCACATTTTCAATTCACACTTAAAAAACCAAAATTTTAAAACAAATGAAATATGATGGAAAAGTTGTTAAAACGTTGATGTGACTCAGTGAATAAATAATGATGTAAAGACAATGAATGTTATATTTCAGACTTAACAGGATTTAAAGTGACGTTTACATTGTGCTGTTGCATCTGCTCCAGTTTTCTTTTCATCGCTGTTGAACGTCACAAACGTGATGTGTCTGTGTTCCAGGTTTATGTCCCCATGTTGAAGCGATACTCCCGATTGGAGGAGAGGGTCCTGCAGCAGAGACCCACCTGAGCTGCAGCAGCCAATCAGATCTGCTGATGGAAATCAACATTTTCACCAAGTAAATCACTGACCAGTCAATCAAATAAGTTTTTATTAAAAACTATTTGAAAGATTAAGTTTAGTTCAGTGTTGTTAGATTAGTGCAGTTGACTGATGAGCAACATTATGAACCGTTGTAGAATCAGTCAACAGAAGGAAAATCAGCAACCACAGATTAGATTTTAAACAGTGGGACTTGTTCATGTATAAATAAAGTTGTTTTAAAGTTGAAATATTTGTCAGCAGTAAAAGTAAAATCCGCTCAAATCCATGTGTGTCACACTAACATGTATCCCCACAGAAACTAAATGACCACATTCATCAATCACACCTCGCCTCCCTTCCCTGTGATTCATCATTTAACTTTTTCAAAATATTAAAGGCCCAGGTGATATTTTGGCTTCACTATAGGGGAGATGTCAGATTTTCACTCTTAGTTTCTCTCTAATTTCCTTCCTCCTCCTCTTCTCCTCCTCTCCTCCTCCTCTCCTCCTCTCCTCCTCCTCTTCTCCTCCTCTCCTCTTTCTCTTCTCCTCCTCTCTTGCTCGTCTCTCATCTCTTCCTCCTCTTGTGTGTGTGTGTGTAGTTCAGCAGGAGAGAATGGGTTCATATGAGGAGACGGACACTGCAGAGACTGGGCTACATGTGTGTGTCTGCATGTGTGTGTCTGCATGTGTGTGTCTGCATGTGTGTGTCTGCATGTGTGTGTGTGTTCAGTGTATAGCATTGACAGTGGTGGGAGGGGCTCTGAGCTGTCCTCAGATGACATACTCAGGAAAGCTGCTGCTGGTGTGTGTGCATGTGTCTGTGCACGAGGGGGCGGGGCGACCAGTTGTCCTTAAATGCCGTGGGTATCCCCACAAACCCCCTGGATCCATTGGGCCCAGCGCCCCCTGCTGCCTGAGCCTCGTAGCTTCAGCTCCCTGTGATGATCTGTTAGTTTTGAAATCACTTCCTTTTCCTGTTGCTAATCAGGTTCCGTGTATTTAAACCCCAGCTTGTCAGTTGCTTGTTGTCAGATTGACTTCTACCATTGTGTCTTTCATTCCAGCAGAATTTTTATTGTTGATCTCGTGTTTGACCTGGACAGTTTTACTGATTTTGTTTTTTTGCGTTGCCCTCACCTGAACCTTTGTGGTTATTTACACAAGCCCGTCTTTAAACGGGCGACTGAGTCTCTGTTGAGTCTCTACACTCCCGTTGACTCTCATGTTGTCACCTCCATCGCGTTCCGTTCCCTAACCCTAACTCCTTGTGGACGTTTTCTAGTCATGACTGAGCGTCGCTGCAGACATGAGCAAACAGAACAGACTCCTCATTAACCACACAATGGTTCAGGTTTAAAGCCAGTGAACACAGGTGGCAGCAGCGAGCATCCGTTAGCCAGTGAACACAGGTGGCAGCAGCTAGCATCCGTTAGCCAGTGAACACAGGT